TCCAGCTCAAAGGCAGACTGCTTTCCAGACTCAGCAGGGAGGAAAGCACAGTTCATAAAACTCTGAGAGGCTTATGTTTGACCTTGTCACCTTTTTGCATTATTTTCTCTCCCCTCACTCTCTGGATTTGTGGAGGGGCAAGCACGGGGCAGGACCACTAACCAGGCATGCAGGCAGATGCAGTGCCTGGCACTTGTGGATGACACCTTTGGGGAGGTGGCATGGGAGTGTGGCCTGTGGGCATCTCCTTGTGGAGACGTGGAGCAGGAAGCATCAGGAAGGGAGATTTGTTCCAGGAGCCTGGGCAGTCTGTGGTCTGGAGGGACTTTCCCAAGGCTAGAAGCAGTTTCCCCATGGCATCTCTTGCTGGCTCAACTGTACACATACTCCCCTTGCTCTGGCAGTTTTGCTGTCTAACTTTCCGCTGTGGAGTTTAGCTGCTCAAGGATGCAGAGGTCTAAACTCTTTTCCTGAAAGAGTGCCTAGGTCTAGTTGTGATGGGGGCACAATCACTTATTCCATCTGTGCCTGTGAGTGTCATAAAAGATCTTGCCCCTCCTTGCAGTCTGTGTTTCCCTCTGTATCCTCAGACGATCGCAACACCGCAGATGCTCATGTATGTGTGTCTCCCATCATTTCCTGGCTCCCGTGGCAGGCTCCAAGGCTGCTGGAAGCAAGGCACACAGGAGCACGTGTGTGTGGGATGGGCAGGGTCCCTGGCACTGGGCCTTGCTGAACCCTTCAGCTGCAGCAGCTCTGCCCTGCGCAGACGAGGGGTCAGTGCCACATTCCCATGCTGGCACACCCTCCTGTCTCCCACACCCACCCCACAGCTGCCTCAGCAGCTGCTGAGAGTCTGTGGCTCAGCAGGGTAAAGGGTGGCTCTTCAAAGTCACCCTGAGCTGTCACCTTGTGTTCTGCCGGCCCTTCACAGCTGCACACACATGGACGTCAGCAGGGACTGGTCTTGAGTGTCCCTCTGGCCCTGCACACTGTCACTGCTGAAGTACGAGAGGGAAATCACATAAGCGCTGCCTTAGCAAGGAACAGGGACTCTCCTCCCCACAGGGAAGGAGGTCTGGCCATGCTGGAGCCCCGAGGGCTCCGCTCAGGCTGGCAGCACAGGCAGGCAGGCACAAGCCCTGCAGCATTGCAGCTCAAACATCCCCTCAGGAGGGCATAGCCAGACATACCCCTGGGCCTGTCCCTGGACAGCTTTTGGCAGGGTACGGGAAGAAGCCACTTCTGAGTGTTTTAGTGTGTGTTTGTTGACCCCAGTCACCAAGGCAGAGAGAAACATGTCTACCTGCTTTGCTTGGAATTGACTCTTGTCACACCATGCCCCAGAGTGACAACTGGCACCCTGAAGCCACAAATGCTCGCTCGAGCAAGGCAGTCCTTGTCCAAATCACTTGCCATGAGCAGCTCTCCTGGTTGAATTAACCATTCTAAGCGGGAGAATTCCCTGTGCGTAGATAGCATGCAAAACACTGCAAAACACTGCATACTTCATGTTTGGTCCACAACAGGATAGCTGAAACATTTTTACCATGGATCTAGGGGGCAGTAAATAAGGCATAACATCTTTTTTGACGTGGAGGTTTTGCTCTGGCATTAGAGGGCACAAAATAAAGTGTGGCCCCTGTGCAAAGTTTGCATACATGGGACCCGTGTGGTACCTCCATTTCTGCTTTACCTTGGAGCAAGAGGAGAATTAAGCCTGAGTAATTCAGAAGTTCCTGCAACTTGATGGGATACTCTGACATTGCTGTGACACTTTGGGGACTGCAAGTTAGAGTCCAAAATATGCTTTTGGCATATATCTCCTGGCATTTCTCCAGCCGTATGAAAACCCCATCTATGTTTCCTAAATTTATATGGATCCCTCCTGGAGGATAGGAATACAAAAAAGGAATGTACTGAAAACAAAGCAACAGTAGGAAGTGCTGGAGAGTTTGATCTTGGAGAGAGAGCAAAACACCCCAGAGTTCTATAGCACTTACACTAGGAGGAGAGTTTAATTGATTCCCCAAAACAGGTCTCCATTGACAGTACCAGAGACTCCAGCTGTGGCCATCCCAGATGTCCTAAAATTAGAGTAAGGCCTCGTGTAATTTAAAACTAAATATGTGCTTTCTTTTGCAGTCACAGGCTGTTACTTTTTGCCACTCCTCTCTTGTATTCTGGGTGTGCATTCAGCTTATGTAATGCATCCAGCAGTGCCTGGGATTTGATGGGCCCATCATGTCTCCAACAATGAGTAATTACACATTTCTATGGAGATCTCACATTTCCAGCTTTGTAGCAACAAGCATGATTTATTTTTTCCTAATGCCAAAATAAAATAAGTAGCTACATGAGCTACATATTCTGAAAGTACCAAGAAGGTCTGAAGATCTGGCTTCTTGCCTCCCAAAAATCAAGTTCCCCAGCTCGTACAATGTCACTAATCATAGCAAGGCCTTGAGATTTCATACTAGAGAGCCTGAACCTTCCCTAAGTTGCACTGGCAACCTGCTTTGACCCTTTTAAGTGCCCTGAGAGGGCCTCCTTTCCAGCTGCTGGCCAAAACATCCTTCAGGTCCTCCCTCACCATCCTCTAAATCTAATTGTTTCTGACCAGCCCAAGAGAGACAACAGTCTCCCATTCTCCATCTTACTGGTGAGAGAGAAGATAGGAAGGGCCCCAGGAGTCTGATCTTGATCAGATGACTCCACATCCCAGCAAATCCCCATCAGCACTTGGCCTCTTCCCAGCCTGAGTGACAAGATGGGGACAGAGGTGGCAGCTGCAATTGGCCTGCTCTTTCTGTGGGAAAGGTTGCAGGGAGAGGGAAAAGTCCTTTGCATGTCAGATTGTGAGAGATAGGAGGGAGGATGGGAATTCAAAGACCTGCTGTTTATTCCCTGCCCTTTTCCCATGGCCCAGATGTTAGCTGGCAGGCAAACTGGCACTGTGTTCAGAGTACTTAGGGAGTTAAGTACAACAGCCAGCTGTGCTGTGGGCCGGCACAGTAGGCTGGGAAAAGACTGGGAACAGAGGGATATTTTTACCTCACTTTTTCAACTACCGCAGTGCCTCCCACGCAGCATGTGAATGATCTGACCCTCACCCCTTGAGTGACAAGGAAACAGAGGCATGAGGGACTTGGCATCTTGCAAAGAGCAATGCTGAGTGTGACCAAAAAGCCAGTAACATCTGTCCTGCTCCAATCACTTGCCAAATATGACCAGTCAGGGTACTTCAAGTGGCAATTTACACACTTCCCTGGCCTCAGCCCTCTGACCAAGCATGAAGCTGGTCTGAAGCACATGTATGCTGTGGGTACCCAGCTCATTGGCAGGTCTGGTGTAATTCATGTGTTTGGGCTGCACATTGGCAAGATCCTACATCAAGCTGCTGCACAATCTAGGATTTAATTTATCTTTTAATTTTTTATTTTATTTTTTTTAGAAAGATAAAAGCAGCAGTTTATGCTGTAGCACATTAACCCCTTTAGATTCTTTGCCTTTCTTCACTTAGGCAGTTGTTACTGAGAATGCCATGGTCAGCTCTGAGCAGCTGCTCTCCTGGAGAAGGGCCATGGGGCCAAGTACATGGAGAATGGACAAAGCTTCCTCCAACAGGCCTATTTCATTGGTGTTGCCCACTGTTGATTCAGTAGCAGTGCTGGATCAATACTGGACAAAAGCTAGAGCATCTCATGTGGGGGAGCAGAGACAGACTACAAAGAACATTAAAAGGTAGTTTTAGTTTAGTCTTCAGGGGAAGCTTTCTGCTTCACTACAAATAATTGCTTGTACACCTAAAATTTCTAGAGTCCTGCCTTAATACCCACAGGTACACATCACACACATGCTGCATTCCCTGTCCCCTCCCACATTAGAAGGTGTGAATGTGCCTTGTTGGTTGTCAGCACACACACTCAGTAGTGTATGGCAGTACCTGAACAGGTATGAGACTGCCCAGTGCATGTTTAGCTGAAGGAACAGATATGTGTGGGGAGACCATGCATCAGGCATGTTTTTCTCCTCCAATAGCTGCATTCCAGAGATCTGCCTGTCACAGACATCCCAACACTTTAACATCACCTTAGTGGCTACAGAAAAAAATCTTGGGATTTAAAGAAAGTTTTTTGGGATAAACCTGTCTTTCATCAGAATGATCAGTTGGGTTAGGCATTTGCAACCTGCTTCCCTGAGCTAGCAAATGTCCTTGTCCTTAGCTCCATTCTTAGCTGGGATTTCTCTTTCTTTGTGATGGAGACAGCAGCCACACAGTGTGGTCCAGCGGCGCCTCTTGGAAGGCAATCTGAACAAGCTACGGGTTCAGTCTGCACGGGTTCAATCTCCGCTGGCAAAAGACCAGGATGAAAAGATGGAAAAGGGAGAGAACAGGAGAAAAGAGACTTCACCCCTGCTAATACAGTGCCAGGTAAGGCAACAACACGGTGCTGCTGATTTCACAGTGATGGCAAAAGCTCAGAGCTCCAGCTGCCTCCCTCCTAAGGGCCATGCTGAGTTATAAATTGCAATGCCAGCTGCAGTCAGAGAGAGCAGATTTCATGCATGGCCTCTCCTAGAGTCTGGATTCAGGTCTTCCAAAGCCAGAGGAAAGCCTTTCTGCTACATGCATTCTAGTTGTCCATATTTGAGGATTCATTACCTTAATCACATCTCCTTCCTTTGAAGGTCAGTTTTCCTGTGATAGGAGGTATTTCATAACTGCATACAGAAGCAAGGAATGTCTCCTTATCACTTAAAGACAAGTGACCCTAGTTGATTTACACTTGCTGGATCCAGTCTGGTCTGATTCCCTTGGGTGTCAGAGGACCTCCTCAGAAAGTGGCTAAATGTGCTCCGAATTAGCATTGCTGCATCTCTTGATGGAAGCAGTATTTTTAGCTCCCTTTTCTTCTTATACCTTCCTATACAGCAGAGCACACTAATCCCTGACCCTTGTACTTCAGAAAGCACATCCAAAAGCTGTGCTCCGTGAAACAAGGCTGCATGGTTGAAGCTGCTCAGTAATATGCAGATATGAGACTCACCAAGATATAGACCTGGTATAGGGTGGATACAAAATACATTTTAAAGTTTTTAGCTGTTTTTAATTCAGTTACCTGTCCTAAAAACATCTCCCGTGTTGGAGAGTAAAGACTACACTTCCAAGAAAAACACATACACCTTTTAAAATTCAGTTGGCACAATAAATTACAATATGAACACAGCATGGTAGCAAGTTTCTGAAAGGCTGCAAGCAAAGACACTGTCTAGTTTGTTTTGCAGTCTTTACTGTTGCAGTCAGGCATTGCTTACCCTGGGTTTTAGACCTTAATGTAGCTAGGTTAACATAACCGTACTTGGGAACAGACTAGTAGGATAAATGGCTTTTTAATATAATTTTTCCAAATACCTGGAGCCTGGTTTTGAGCAAATGAAGTTGTTTCTTTCTCTTTAATAATCACTCTTTATTGTTCTGTATGAGGAAATTCAGTGACAAAGTGTGGGGGTTTTTGCCAGGCATGTACATTGAGCAAGGACAAGCACGTACAGGTGTTGTATCCCAGGGGCAGTAGTTAAGTCAGCAGCAGGGTCCACTAGTGAACCGTTTGTGTTTCTGATGGACTGGACCCCAGCTGTCGCACACATTTTATTTTCCCTCACAGAGGAGGGTTAATGAACATCACAGTCAAGGAAATAAGTCTAACACAACCTGAATTCTGCACAGGCATTTCTCTCTTTTTCTGCCCTTCTTAAGAGCCAGTCACTGTTTGTCACACTTAATCTTCTTACACTGAAGGAAGGGAAGCTCTCCTCCCCTTCTTTTTAGTCTTGTTGCTTTTGATGTTCTCATTTGTGAACTTCAAAAACCCTCTCCTGTCAGTAACAGAACTGTGGCAGGAAATAGGACTCGGGCTGCCAGTTCATTTTAACCAGAGAGGTGAGCTGGTACCTTTTGGAGAACTGCTTGATTATGGTCCAGTTTTTAATAGAAATGGAACACGACCCCAGTGATGTCTTTTTTCCCTGACAGCACCTCCTGAGAAAAGATAGTCTACCAGCTTAAAGCTGCCGTTTACACACAGACAAATACGCTGAAAATTTCAAAGTGCTAACAAATGCATTACCTAACTTGGAACTGAACTTGCCTGGGGAATAAGTCTAAATATCTGTAGACTTCAGTGCTACAGGGAGATTCAGGCAAGAAGTGTTTTCATTCTAATAGGTTATAGTTGCCCTGTGCCTAAGGCCTTTTTAAGTCTCAGAGATCAGAGACAGAGCCAATCTGTAAGAGTTGTACTGCAGAGTCCTCCTATTTCCTTAGGTGGCTTGCCCACATGGTATTTTAGCAGAATTGTCCTTTTTTGTGACAACTTTTGCAAAGCACTTTGGAAAGCTTATCATGACGGAGATGCATCACAGAATCAAGCTGTTATTTTTTTATTGTGGAGCTTGTCTCCTGTTGGCTTGGAAAAAGATGATGAAAGATTCCACTGCTGTCCCAGTCCACTTTTCCTCTATGCCAAAGTAATCTGGGGTTAATCAGCCTTTTGTTTGTTACAGCAGCTTCTTGACTTTGGAACTTACATTATTTCAGAACACACATTTCTTTATAAGTGGTGATCCTTACTGATTCTCCTTCCCCTCTTTCTTGGAAATCCCCATAACTGACATTTACATAAAGACTAATGGTGACTGGTAGCAAACTGAAAATTCTGGAACACAGATGAGAGTGGGTAATGTGATGAAAAGTCCTCTTAGGCCAGGAAGGCTTGCAGTTCTCATCAGCTGCCTGTGTAGTCCTTACCTCAGCTGCGTTGTATTTGTGGTATGCTGGATGGAGGACTTTCCTCAGGCTCCTGGTGAGTTCTCTGGACAAATAGTTAGTGGTGTAATTTGAAAGTGGATAACTTTTGTGATGCTGCTGGAACTGATAACTGTGCTGGGCTGTTTACACTGAATGAGATTAAATGTCATTTTCTACAGAATAATCACTGTCCTGTTATATGCTAGCAAGTTTCTAACTTGCAACTTTCCCAGCCTGCTCTGAAACAAAACTCAAGAATCTGCCTAGTGATAGAGTTTAGGCTTATTATAACAACAGCTCATGCATCTCAGGTCAGCCTGCTTCCAAAGTGATTCCCTAGTAACTGCTATCCATGCTTCAGGTTTTCTGTTTCTGAGAAGCTGATACAATGCTTTTTCTCCAGCTGGGCAATAAACAGTTGGCTTCTGTGAGCCAGAGGGATGGTTAATGCTTTCCCAGTAGAATCCATGCCTGTTACTGAGGAAGAGCTGTTTCAGCTGGACAGTGTTGGCAGGTTGCAGCCTGGGCTAATGTGGTGGCACACGTGACCTGAGACTCATGGTCAGTATACCCACTTAGGTAGTGAGGAGGCACAGGGAAGCCTCTTCTGTGAAGCACAGTAGAGAGGATGAGGAGACAGGCATTTAGCACACATCTGCACTCTGTGCCTTTATCTTACCTCTCTGCTCAGTCTGGCCACAATCCTCGTAGGCAGGGCTGATACATCAGTGAGGACAAGACAGCACAGACATTGCAGAGCTCTAAAATCAGAAGGGAGGTATTTTGTTATAGAATCACAAAATTATTTGGGCTGAAAGGGACCCTAGTGATATTGTGTCTGTTTGCAGCATTCCAGTATTTCTCACAAGAGATATTTTGCTCTTGCTTTTTATAACTGCTCACAAATAGTTCATTTTTGAAAATGGAATCTTGGAAATACTGGAGCTCTTGGAAATCTTGGAAATAATGTAGCTCGCTCTCTGTTATGATTAATAGTCAGAAACAGATTTAGTTAAGAAATCATGAAATTGAAACGTTTTCCTTGACCCTACTGGTGCTGCACTGAGTACCTCATAGCCATGCTGGTCTGCTTGAGGTGATCAAGCATTTAACCTTGTTAGGAATGAGCATAAGGGTAGAGGAGCAGTGGGAGGTCTGTTGCTGCTTCTGAGTGACTAATGGCACAGAGCACTACAGTGAATGGAAGAGAGGGAATCACAGGAAAAACACAAATGATAGTAGGGAAAAAAAAAGAGCCTCTCTAAAGGGAAGCTTTGTGGATGGTTTTTTGTGGGTGTTGGTGCAAGACAGAGCCTTGAAGAACTAGGCCATCAGGAATGGATATTAGGCACTAGAGACAGGTGAAAAACATATTTTGTAGATGGCAGTTACCCCATCTTTTCCAATTCCTTTACTAAGTCCTGCTCCTCCTTTTTTTTCCCTGAACATAATTCTTATCAATGTCCTTGATAACCCTATTTTTTCAGACCTCTAACATATGTAAGACCTGCTGTTACTTCATCACCTCTGGCCTGCCATTAAGGACCTTTGTGCAGAGGGGGCAGAAAACATATGGCAAACACATTTCCTTTTCCCTTTCAAGTGCAAAGGGGTGAAGAAATGAAGTGAGCAAGGCACTGGGGATTATTCCAGTAAGATCAAGCACAGGTGACTGGGGTGCAAGGCATCCAGTCTCTCCCTTTGCTAAATGACACCAGCTGTTACTAGTGTAGTTATAATATCATGTCATATATCCTTGAAGAGCTATATAGGAACATAATGTAAGCCCTACACAAAATAAATACCTTCTGATTAGGTTGTGTCTTGTATTCAGGAATCATTTGAATTTGTCAGTTCATCTCAGGGATATATGTGCTATCTGCTTCTGTTTCCGACTTCTCCCTCTGGAAGCTCTTCAACTGAAAACAAATGTCTAGCCCTTGAAAATTGTTACCTGCAACATCAGAAGAAATGGAGAAATGACAAAGGCTGTAGCACATGCCTGTATTCCTTTAGAAGCTTTTGTCATATCAACTATTGCTCTGCTAATAAAGTCCATGGGGGTTTTCTGAACAAATTCACTAATTATGCATCTCTTGGCAGGAACACTGTTAAGGTAAAGTCCCTAAAAACAGATAAATGTCTGGGCAATCAAATATAAATGAAAGAAGACAAATTCAAAAAGAAATCTTTGACAGAGTTTTGCAGAGCACTGTGGAGACCACCATTGTCTTGGATAAGTCTCCTACCTTCTGACTACTGCCTAAAACACCACATCTTTGGCTGTGTTGCTCAGAAAGTTAGAGGAGTGAGTATGCCCATTTTGAGCCCACAGTAATCATCTGTTGTTGTTTTTTCTAGTGCCAAGGTCAGGTATTGAAAGCGACTGTTAACACTGGGTGTCTACCGAACCTCATCTCCAAGAGCTGTTTAAACCAGCTGGGGTAAGTCTTTGCACAGTAGAAGAGGAGAGATGACTAAAAGAAAAGCTATGGCAAGAACCTAGGCACCCTTGATTCCCAGCCCCAATGATAATTACCAGCAGCTTTGCACGTGCACACGGCTGTTTAGGAGAAGGTGCAGAAGGTGGGATACAGGGCAAGGCATCAGGAGCACTGGCAAAGTTGTGTGAAGACCCCAGACTGGGAGGCAGAGCTGTGTCATTCTGTCTGTGTGTAGTGCAAGGCAAAGCTGCCCAGCTGATGGCTAGTGGTGAGGTTTTGCTTGTTGAATCTGCCTCCAGACATACTGCGTGAAAGAGATTCCTCCTCTTGTGGGCCTATTCCCAATGAGAACAAGAAGAACTGCCGTCAGGGAGAAGTCCTGTTTTTCCTACTCTTCCTCCACTTGAGGCAATAACACTTCTTGTGTCCCACAGGCTGGAAGAAGTGTCTGCCATGGACTGTGGAGACCTCTCTCTTCCTATCCCCAGCGTTGTTGGCCGAGTAGAACATATGGAGTTGCAATTTGGCCCGGAGACAGTGTTGTGTTCGGCACTGGTTGTAGGTGAGAGTGCCAGCCCCTCATCTCCCCTATTTTTCCTCTGTTGCTCTTGCACTGTCAAGGGCATTTAGAAGGACCTTTAAGAAGAGTGTAACACGGTAGGAGGTTGGTGATGTGGTCGCTTCCACTGCTGGCCAACATCATTATGCGCTGTGAACACGTTCAATCTAACCAAATGCAAAGGGCATAGGAAGGGTACAGAGAAGAGAGAAGACACGGAAAGTGGGAAGAAATGATGTGATTTTTGGTCTTAAAAAAGGATGTGGAAAATTCTCATTTACATTCTAAAATGGACATTTCTTAAAATTATGCAGAAGGCTTGATTAGTCCTCTGGTGCCCTATGTTCTATTGAATGGGCACTTGTATCTGTGGCTGAGAGTCATCAGAGAAGGCAACAGAGGGTACAGCTTATTCCCCAGAGCGTTTCTCTGTGTACTCATCTGCTTCTGCTGCAGGGAGCACCCTGAAAGAACCTGGTAACCACAGAGTGCTGAGTCTCCCTCAGTGTCCTGAAGCAGGACCCTTAGAAGGAAGGAGCCATAGTACCCAAGGCCAAGTCAGCAGGTGCTGAGGCACGCCCATCAACCAGCAGAAAGGCTGCATGTTCCACATTCACATCAAGCTGTGAATATGCTGAAAACAACTTAGTTGTCTTTTTTCCCCCTTGTTCTTTATCCCTATTAATCTCCCAGCTTTACTCTCTTGCCTTTGTTTCCTCATCTTTGATGAGTACTATTCATCTTCCAAGACCTTCCTTGCTCCCCCTTTTCATGCCCATTCTTTCCATGTTCCTAGTCATCTAGAAAGAGCTTCCTCCTCTTATACACTCAAGTTCACTCTTCTCTTCTTTTTTTTCCTGTACTAGTTCTTGTCCTCTATGGAGAATCTGTATTAGTACCATCACAGGTGAATTTAGCCCAGTAGCATCTATCCATTTTGCTGGGATGTGGAGATGTCTGCCTGGAAGGAGCAAAATTGCTACCCTTGTGTCTTATACCTCCCTGTACACACAGTGCTCTTGCTTATGTCATTATAAATAAATTATAAATTATAGTCACTTGTTACAGGGCAAGCTGGCATTCAGGAGGCATGGGAAGTGTTAATGATATTACTGGTGGCTCCTGATTCCTGCAGACTCCAGGACCTGGAAATTCCTCCTTAGCTGCCACTCAAGTCCAGATGGGCAACTCTAAGATGCAGGTCACTCCCACCCAGTCCAATGCATGTTCTTAGTGGCAGGTTGAGGTAGTAGCAAGGCTGAAGGTATATTCCAAAGAGGCACACAGAGAAAGGACAGAGACAAGGCCAGCCACACAGATCACCGCATGCAGAGTAGTGCCTTTACCAGCAGGCACATAAATACCAGCACAGATAGCCTAGCCCTGATCCTCCTCTCCAGCTGACCAGGATTGAAGTTCATCATCAGAAGTTCACAGATCCTCATTCTCTAGATTCACAAGCACACTTATATTCACAGTCTTCGAATAACAGCACAGCTTCTAGGTCTGTTTTATATCCATGTCGGGACCATAGGCCCCCTACCTAGCCACTGACCCAGACCCTTGAGTACAAAGCCACAACCTCATAGGATCAAATTCATCAGGAAAACATAAACACACCCAAGTCTTTCTAGTTAGTGGCATTTAGATCTCTCATGGTCGTGCTCTGTCCTCTTCAATTGCTGACTTATAAACCCAAGGCCCTTGTGACCCCAGTCAGAGCAGGTAGCCAGAGCTCTCTTGCATGCTGAGCGCTCCAGTTGTTGGCACCAAGACCTACAAGCTCTGTGATCCACAGTCTTTATTCAGTTACTGGAACTCAGACCTTGCAGCACACATCGTAATCCCTCCATTGCTGGCACTCAGGTGTATAAACTCTATGGCACCCAGACTTCTCTTGCACACTGGTGTCTCTGGGTGCTGGCACCTGTGAGCTACATCCTTTTCTCCAGTTGCTGACACACACCTATGAGCCCTATGGCCTGTAATCCCTTCAGTTACTGGCACCTCCCTTGCCAGTCCCTGAAGTTAGTGACATCTACAGCTATTTAACCCATGGCATGTTCTACACTTGCTGACACTGAAGACTTGCAACAGTCAAATGTAGGATAGAGAAGTTACACAGAAAAATTTACTTAATAAAATTATCTAATAAGATCGGATAAATTGCAGCCATTAGGTGCAGGGTTTGGTCAGACAAGTGAACTGACCAACTGCCTGATTGCATGTGACTGCCCCCTTATCCCCTCTCCTCTCCATTTTTCCATGATTGTTCTTCCCTGATTCACCCTGCTGCTTGCCATCCCCTGCCTTTGGTCCTTCCCTTACACAACCCACAGTAAGTTTTATGAGATCCCACAAGCCCCTTCTGACATTTCATATTAAGTTTCAAACAATCCCACGTCCCCACTCAAATATCTCATAATAGTCAAGATAATCATGGTTTCCTCCTCTTATCAGCAACAAAGTTAATTTTGACCATCTTCAGGACTGTGCATAAATAGCTCCTCTAATGGCTTATCAGTCAGTGCCAGAAGAGTGCTGACTTATTATTGTCACTGTTACCACCTGCTTGTTAGTGTTCGTGTTTAACTCATCATTTTCCTCATTATTTTTTTAATCTACTTTATACTGAAGAGACCATAACCACATAAGTTTATGAATCAGATGTTCTTGTATTCCATATCCTCTTACAGGAGAAATACTCTTTGTTTAGATGGGTAGTATTGTATAATTTTAAGCCTGATTGGTGTCTTGTCTCTTCTCAGATGATGAAATGCTGGAGTTTTGCATTGGTCTCCAGACTCTGTGGTCTCTCAAGGTAAGGAACAACTCCTTGCTAATTGGAGGGCTCCTCTCAAGAAGTTCTCCAAGATCTGATTGCTGTAAGCATCTGAAATACTTAAATCCAGGTCTTTCAGGGCAACACTTGTCACACAGCTGCCTGACTGGCTGCAGTATGTGCCGAGCCACTGATTCCTTTCCACTCCCTCTTAAGGCTTTTAAGAAAGGAAACTCCCAATAGGATACTATAACATCACCCATTCTTTATATTCCTGACCATACAAGTTGCAAACAGGAAGAAGAAACTGAAGAAGAGACAAGAAAAGGCAGTACACTAACTCTGTCACGAGATATGTGTCACCTTCTGAAGGCAGATGTGAACAAGCTCTGCTTTTGCTTTAAGCCAAATGAAGCTGTATAATCATATACAGTATCCAACACTAGCTGGCCATGAATGGAAAGTGTCCTCTCCTTTTATCAGCTTGGCTCAGGGTCAATGCTCTGCTGAGCCTGATTCCCGGGTGGCTCAGAATATGTCTGCAGCAACCTGGCTCCTGCCTGTCACATATTTATAGCCACATCTCAGACTCATAAAACAGGAAGAGCATTGGGTTGAATGGCTAACTGGTGTGAGGACATCAGTTCAGAGGGAATCGTAGGAAGAAGGGAGGGGAATGGCCCTGTGAAGGGTTTAGAAAGAAATCCATTGTAGGAAACAGGACCAAGGAGAAGGCATGGAGAACACAAAGGGAAACTAAGGTCTCTCTAAAACCAAAGTGGTGTTGCAGGTTTTCTCCAGTCATAGACATCATGAGATTTGTGATCTGAAATGTCCAGCAAGTAACTGGCTCTCCCCTTCTTTAGTGTTGCATCGACTTGGAGGACGGAGTCCTGAGATTTAAAGCACTGAGTCAAGAGCTGCCTTTTCTACATGCCTCTGAAGAGCCTGCTCAGTGACTAGCTGTGTTCCCCATGTCTGGGGCTGAGGAGACTTGCTGCCATGAAAGAGAGATGAGGGCGAGGCTCACATGCCCCTAACCTTGCTGAGTTCTAGGCTGAGGCATTCACTGGGGAGTGAGAAAAAGGCAAGTGGGTGCTGGAAGCTGTTGTTACTGTGAGTGCCTCAACTTCAGAGATGTCCCTCTTTTCAGTGGACCCTCTCGCTTG